TTTTAAGATAGTTTTTTACTCTTGCACCCAGATTGGAGTACAATGGCATGATCTCAGCTTACTGCAACCTCTGCCTCCCGGGCTCAAGTGATTCTCTTGCCTCAGCTTCCCGAGCAGCTGGGATTACAGGTGCCTGCCTCTATGCCCTGCTAATCTGTGTATTTCTAGTAGAGACAGGTTTTCACCATGTTGGCCAGGCTGATCTTGAACTCCTGACCTTAGGTGATACAACCACCTTGGCCTCCCAAAGTGCTGGAATTACAGGTGTGAGCCACCACGCCTAACCATCCTTTCTATTCACCATTCTCCTTTTATTTGAAGTATTATTCCTCCTTTTTGTTGTTGTTGTTCTTTTCTCTCATTACTTCCTTCCTCTCCTTTCCTTGGAAAGATACATACTAGCTCCAGGAAGTTAGGGTGGAAGTAAGAAGCATGGAAGGAAGGAGAAGAACAGCACTATCATAGTTTCCTTGATTACTGGTCTCAGAGGATGCCTTGGGGAGCACAAATCCCACACCAACCCCAAAGAAAAGGAGCTCTGTTATGGATCTCAAGAAAACCAGGCCAACCCAATGAGGCCCCCTTGGCCCAAGAAGGTGACAACATTTTCAGAGGGGTGAGTAAAGCAAATGGAAATAAAACTGGGACATGAATAAAAAAGAAGCTCTCTTTTGCTCCCACACCATGTTGTCATCTGTAAGCAGGCTTGCTTGTGGAATGCCACAATGGATCCAGATAAAGAAGGCAGCCTGTGAAGCAGGATAGGTTTACCCTAAATTTCAGGGGAGAGAGGCATGACTCATCCCATGAGGATGTTCAGTCTAGAGGGCTAAGAATAGTGTGTGGAGGAAAAAGAAAGGATAAATTTCTTAGAGTATTTCTAGAGTAAGCCTTCAGTTAAGGGAAAAGGAAATCTTTAAGACTTATGCAAGGGCCAGTTCAATTCTCCAGGGAGTCAGAGCCCTTCCTAGAAATGGTGTGCATTTGTCCTTGGCTACATAGGGCTTCAAGATGTTTTCTTTTCATGTATTTATCACAGTTTATTAGCATGTATTTATGTATTGTCTACTGCATTATTCCATTCTCACACTGCTAATAAAGACATACCTGAGACTGTAATTTACAAAGAAAAAGAGGTTTAATGAGCTCATAGTTCCACATGGCTGGGGAGGCCTTACAATCATGGCAGGAAGTGAAGGAGGATCAAAGGCATGCCTTACATGGTAGCAGGCAAGAGGGCATGTGCAGGAGAACTGCCCTTTATAAAGCCAATCAGATCTTGTGAGAATTATTGACTATCATGAGAACAGCATGGGAAAGACCTGCTCCCATGATTTAATTACCCACCATCATGTTCCCCCCACAAAACATGGGGATTATAAGAGCTACAATTCAAGATGAGATTTGGGTGGGGACACAGCCAAACCATATCATCTACCTTACTCATTACTCTTTTGGTTCAACGAGGGTAAAACCATGAATATTTGTTCACTACTGAATCCCCAATGCCTTGAATATTAGTATGTAGAAGTCACTCAAAATTATGGGTTCGGTGAATGAATAAATTGCACAAAAATTCCCACAGCATTTAGTGTCCAAAGAGGCAGAGAATGATTGGTAGTAGTTTATGATGATCCTATTTATGCTTTTATTTATTGAATTAATCCTTTGTTAAGTGATTTTTAAAATTCAATTAAAAAATGTATAGCCTCTCTGTGTGATATGAGGAGAGACATAAAAGACGGGGTGAGTCCTATGAAGCCTCTAGGAGCTCATAGTCTAGAGAGAGAGTTAATGAGGCAATTTTGAAAGCATCACTTAGGTCTCAAAGTACTCTGGGGATACACAGAGACATACCTTACCCAGACAGGCAGTTTCCAAGAGAATATTTTGAAAGAAAACTAGGGCAAACAATGAAAACCAAGGAAGGATCAGCTCTAGGGAGAAGAATGCTTCCTTCCAGTTTGGGAAGAGGTAGAGAATAGATCAGAGGAGCGAGCAAAAGTTGGGAGGATGAGTTAGGCAACTGGTGAAATAAATCAGGAGAAATGGATGGAGGCCTATGATCAGGCAGTATGTGAAAAGTGTAAGAAGGAATAGATAAAATGCGAAGAAAATAAGGTTGAGGACATTTGGGGAGTGATGGAAATAGGAGCAGAGGAGAGACTGAAAAGGAGCATCTGCAGTAGTGAGAAAACCAGGCAAAGAGGTGTTAGGAGACTAAACCAATATGCTAAACAGAAGGAGTGATCTGAAGTGTCAAAAACTGTTGACATTGGCAGAAAAATCAGCATTGGTGAAATGAAGATGGGAGGCAGGTTATAGGTGAGTGAGGAGTGAAGCGCTGATGTCTCTTTCTATTAAGATGCTTTGTAGGGACATGGATGAACCTGGAAACCATCATTCTCAGCAAACTGACAGAAGAGCAGAAGATCAAACACTGCATGTTCTCACTCATGGGCGGGTGTTGAACAATGAGAACACATGGACACAGGGAGGAGAGCACTACACACTGGGGTCAGTTGGGGGGAAATAGGGGAGGGACGGTGGGGGTTGGGGAGCTGGGGAGAGATAGCAAGGGGAGAGATGCCAGATGTAGGTGATGGGGAGGAAGGCAGCAAATCACACTGCCATGTGTGTACCTATGCAACAATTTTGCATGTTCTTCACATGTACCCCAAAACCTAAAATGCAATAAAATAAATAAATGGGGGGAAGAAGATGCTGTACTCAGAAAAGAGAGAGAGGGAGGACAGTAGCTAGAGGGAGATGTAGGACCAAGCTAAGACTTCTAAAATGGAAGAAAATTTTTATTTGTGTAGGCTGAGAGGAAGGATCCAGTGCAAAGAGAGAAATAAGAGGAACTGGGACATGTATTTTACCCTTTTGCAGTGGGTTCCATCTTTAAACACTTTTGTTATTGTCTTCAATGAATCTTCCTTCTGATGCACTGTTAGACTCTCCTGCTGAAGCAGGTGCTCAATTATACTGCAAGCCTCACACAGCATCTAACCAAATCTGATCTATCATTCTCACTTAGCAGGCTTCTGATAATTGGGCAACTTTATCTCTTGGCTCAGGTATTCTTAATCTGCTGTTCACAGATCCCCAAGGGATCCACATATAAAATTATACCTTAACATAATTTATTTCATGATCTGTGCATTGTTTTATGCTTTTGAAAGGATATATTGGCTTCCCCAGTATGCCAAAGAAGTCCACGACGCAAAGATAGTCCCAAACCCTTCATCTATATACTCTGAATTATAGCTATGACCAGCTCTGTGTTTAGAAACTAACAATTTTCTCCTTTTTCCTTTGGATCACCCACTTACCTTCTCTGTTCCAGGTCAATGAATCAGGCAAATTAATAGACTTGAAATGCCTTCTGCCAGTAATTCCCAAAGATATGTAAGAATCACCTTAAGAAAAAGACAAAAGGATAGATTCCTAAAAGCCCATATTTCAAAATCCCATTCTAAAAAAGTCTGAATTTAGTACATTTAAGAAGAAAACCAAGAATCTGCATTTTAAAATAAGCTCTTGAGCTCATTTTAATGCAAGTAGCCTTTGGACAACACAAAGAAACAGATCACTTATATTTTCCTGGCTTAAAAAAAAAATGTGTCCTAAGTATGCTTAATTCTATTGAACATACTCAGTAACTTTGAGAAATGTCAAATCCTCAGACTTAAATCTTTTCCAAATTTCCCCAAAGAAATGCTGCCATCTCTAATATTTACTCATGTGAACAAACCAACCTCCTTTGGTATTTGTTTAAACATTCTGAGAGGCTCATCACGTCACAGAGAACAATATACAAATCACTGCACATAGAGGAATGTGTATGGAACCTTTCAGGATGGAGGGAAAAGGGAACCATCTTCTTAGAAAGGTACAGTTTTAAATTTTTAGAAATAACAAAGCTTATAAATATAAGAAATGAGTTTAAGAGAAGACAAAACGTAGTAGGTGATGATGTGGCCAGGAAAGAGAAAAGCCTAAATAATACAATTAACATTTTTTTCTTCCTATGAAGCAACCACAAAGTAAACCAGGAACTTCCTCTAATACCAAACTGTCAGAAGGGTTTCCCTGGGGGTCACTTCCCATCCCTGAGCAAAATTTCAAATGACACAGTGTGTAAAGATGTCCCACTATGCAAAGGTCTCATGATTGCAGGACTCTTGGCAATACTAGTGTGAGTTTAGCCCGTGAATGAATTTACCTGATCTGATTAACAGTTCCAAGGGACAGTGGACTCACTATTCTTTGAGATCTGGGAAAACCTTGAGTGGGGCCTTCAGGTTCCTATCTTTCCGAGTTGAAGAAGGAACTCATCCTTCATCTCCAAGTCAGTGGTACCAGTAGCTTCTATTCCCAGGTGTGTCAAATTTTTGTCAGCAAAGCTAAAACAGAACATTTCAGCACCTTACCCCTCATAGAGGAATTTTTAAACCAGGGTTAGAAGTGGAACTAATCTGGACAGAGGGAGGAGGTTTTAAAAGACATAGTATCTGTCTCCAGTGTCTGCACTTCAATTAAAGCCCATATTTGAGTCATGAAATAAGTTGGGTCTTTTGACTTCTCAATAACGTTGGGTTTCAGTAAACTTGCAAAGATATTCTAGGGGCTCTGTCAATACATCACTCAATCTATAACTCTTTTGGCCCCCAAACAATGTTTATTTAACTGTGCTTACAGGGTTTTTTGGTTGATCTCGTAGGTGCTTGAAAGCAGCTTTTTCATTTATAGAAAAAAAAATTAACAAGAGTATGGAATACTATTCTCCAGATTCAAGAAAACCATTTTGCTGTAATGACAGCCACTAATGGACAGCAGCCACAAGTTAAATAATACCAGCCAATGATGGCAAGATGATATGGGGTAGTTTTTCATGTGTCTCCAATTTAACAGGGATCGAAAATAATCTTCAAGTTCATAATATTGATAGCACTTTTTTTTTTCTTATCAGACACACGGTGTCATAATTCATGAAGTATTTTTGAGTTCACCTGCATATCTGCCCTTTTGGACCAGAGAAAGCTCTATGAGGAACATGTTCTTCCCATGTTCTTATGGTACAACAGGGCTCATATTTTATTGATGGGTTTTTAAAAATAATGGTAAGTAAAAAATACAACCTTAGGCTTTTCCAGAAGATACTTGATTTACTATCCAATAGCCACCTGCTCATCCTTTTCTCTTGTCTGTAGAGTCCTCCCTTGTTATAGGTATGGAAAATGCCAGACAATCTTTTCTCAAGCTATCCTTGCAAATAGGTTCAGGACATGTGACCATAACCCAGCCAATGTGTACTAAGGGAGAAGTCTGCACAGAAAATCCCTGCAGAAAGATTTTATTTTCTAGTAAGAACCTGATGTTTGAGGAGTGATTCCTTACCTCTTCGTCTGCTGGCTGTACAGCCAGTTGTACGAGAATATGTGCTCATAACTGTTGCAGCCACCTTATGACTATGAGGGGCAAACTAAGAGATGGACAGTGAAGTGTCGCAACATGGTTGATCTGCTCAAGTAACCGACTCTGGAAACACCTGCCTCTGGACAGCTTATTAAATGCAGTCAAGTAGCTGTTCTTTGCAGTCAGAGTCTTCCCCACAATGCTTTACTAATTCATTTTAAAAATGTAGCCGGGCGCAGTGGCTCACCCTGTAATCCCAGCACTTTGGGAGACCAAGGCGTGCGGATCACGAGGTCAAGAGTTTGAGACCATCCTGGCCAACACAGTGAAACCCCGTCTCTACTAAAAATACAAAAATTAGCCGGGCATGGTGACACGCGCCTGTGGTCCCAGCTGCTCGGGAGGCTGAGGCGGAAAATCGCTTGAACCCAGGAGGCGGAGGTTGCAGTGAGCCGAGATTGCGCCACTGCACTCCAGCCTGGCGACAGCAAGGCTCCATCTCAAAAAAAAAAAAAAAAAAATTGTTTACTGAGTACTCACTAAAGGCTAGCCACTGTGCTAGGCACTGAGCTATCGTGGTGAGCAGAACAGACATTGTTTCTGTACTCTGGAGATTCTTGCCTAAGGGACAGACAGAAGTTGATTAGGGGCCATCCAATGTAATATTTCGCTTGATTGTGTTGGGAGTTTGTGTCAGAGAAGGCTTCCCTGAGAAAGTGACGCCTGAGCTGCTATCTGAAGAATACATGGAGACTAACCAGATGAAGAGGGTTGTTCTCACTTTGCCTTTGTGAATTAATCAATTAAACGATTATTGCCTGAAAGCCAATGAAGTCAACAAATAGAATCACAGGAGAAAGAAAAGTCACCTCCAGTTGTCAAACTATTCAGCTGACTGTCTCCTAAGTCAGCGATAACCTGGTGTTGATGAGGAAGGCTTTTTGCAGACTCCCCGCCTAATCCTTCTTCCCGTGGGCCCATGTGAACACCTTATTCTGATCGTTCTTATAAACAGAAAACATCATAGTTTTTGTGGTAGCTGAGGTCATAGACATCAGTTTTCACTCGCTCATTGTTCTTGTTACAAATGATCTAATAAATTATCTCTTTTGACTAGGAATTTCCATAATTAGATTCAGCCAGAGGGCACTTTTTTGGTTTGTTTTTAAACATTCAGCCATTTTGATTTATGTGAATGTGAAAATATCTACAATTTTTTTTCTGTGTTTAATCCAATCTACAGAATATTATTTAGCGCAAGGAAATCTCCAAAATAGCTGAAGCTTTTCACTTATTTAGATTTCACCAAAGAGTCCCCAGGGTAGAATGAAAACATCTCCAAGCTAGGGTAATTTTACAAAAACTGCTTAGAGTTCAACAGCTATTTCTGTACTTTCAGAATTCTGTAAACATATGGGGAAAATCTGTCCACAGTTATGCCGGAGCAGTGCCCGAGCCCTGAATTCCCCTATCGTTTCATTGTTGGGAAGGGCTAGAGCCCAGATTCAATGTCTGTGTTGCAAAGGCCCTGGAGCTTTTGCACCTTTCTATTTTTGCCCAGTTAGACAAGGTCTTCTGGTTGGTTTTTTTTTCCCCTTGAAAAATCTGGTTATTTCCTCTTCCTCCCTCCCTCCTCCCTCCCTCCTTTCCTTCCTTCCTTCCTTCCTTCCTTCCTTCCTTCCTTCCTTCCTTCCTTCCTTCCTTCCTTCCTTCTTTCCTTTCTTGGTTCCTCTTCTTTCTTTTCCTACCTTATCCCATTTCCAGATATCTGCCTAATTTCTCCTAGTCCTGGTACTACCTTCTCCTCTAACTGGGAATCACCCTTATGTGCTATAGGCCAAGCATGTGGTGTGTTAGGGAGGAACAGAGTACTTTCTATTTGTATCAAAAGGGATTTTCATGATTAATGGCAGGAAGGATTTTGGTTTGTGGGTGAGGAGAGGGGGTGCCGAGAGGGAAGTCTGTCTTAATTCTAAAAACAGAGAATGTTTCCAAAGTAAAATATTCCTTCTCATGTATGCCAGGGTCCTGGGCAATGACAGCTCCAAAATATCAGCCACTTTTCCCTTTTTGACCGGGGCATGTCCTGGGACACATCAGTGTGACCTCACATTTAGACATTGAGTGTCCAAAGGAGTTAATAAATAATGCTTTGACATTTTCTTCAAATGTGATTGTACACACATGCATACTATTGTAGAGGTTAATGATGAATCCAAAGATGTCTATTTTACAACTTTAAACTTGTGTCCTTTTAACTGAACCATTCAATTTCCAATAAACCATGAAGTAATATTATTTATAAATACATGTACTAATCTTATGAGTAGCACAATTTTCTATTGCATTGTATTCTTAAAAGTGTTAACATGATTAAGATAAGTATTTAAAACATTTAGTAATTTTTTAAATAAAATAATAACCTTTATTTTTCAATATTATAGGATCTTAAAAGAATGATGTATTTTAGGCTTTTCTTGACTTCTGGGAGAACTTGATCTTGCCTGTTTCACTCAGGAAAGTATTCTTTTGGTATTATGATGATAGGATTCCTAATCTGAAATCTAAACAGTTTCTGCTAGAAGGTAATGAGGTTTTACACAAACCTTATTAAGTCAGGCCTTTGCTAATTGAATTTTTAAAATTTGGGTTCTATTGGGTATAACATTTATTGAGACAAAGTAATTAACATTTTCTTTTTTGATGCATTTCTTTCAGTATTATGCTTAAAACCTCAACACATAGTAGAATGCGTAGCATATAATAGGAGCTCAATAGCAGCTATTAAAAACAAAGTATTAAGTAAGAGAAATGTGTTCTAGAACTGGCAGTTTTCTTGAACCAAGAGAGGCTCAAGGGAAACAAAAGGAATCTCAGCTATGTACCTCAGATTTCTGAGTCCAGAAGTTCATTTTCAGTGGCAATACAAATGTGGGACATTTTTGGTTAAAATACATATTTCACTGTATAGGCCCACTGTGATTTTAAATGCCCTTCTATTGCTTAACAGACATTATATCTACTTTACAATGTGTACTGGGCTTCAGAGAATTAAAGTTGGAGTTTTTTTTTAAAGTAGCCTTTTTGTAAGTCAGATACGTTATTGTTATGCTTCCAAATACTTGGTCTAGGAGGAAAATAAGGGGAAAACATAGTGAGGATATATTAAAAAATATTTTTTTTGGAAGAAAGGAGATATTGTTTACATAAATTTGAGAAGTTGGTATTGCTTAATTCTCCCTGATGTCTACAAGAACTTCTGCTTTAAGTTCTTCCAGTCCCAAGAACACATTGGTCAGCTAACTCTTGTGCTGAATCCCAGAATATCAAGAACCAGTGTAAATGCTTATTAAAATTATTATTATTGTCTTATTTCTATGTCTATTTCTCCATTCATAGATGTATATGTAGTCATCTCTATCTCTATTACCTATCTAAATATAGTAATGCCATACATAGAAATCTAAAACAAAGAGAAATCTTAAAACAATTATTTATGTCAGAAAGAGTGCACTCAGATATTGTTGTATTTTTTTCATGGTTGTTAAATGCATTTATTCCACAAGGATTACTATGCAGCAGGCCCTGATGTAGGAGTAACATGAATAATAAATACAGTAGAGGCAGAGGTGTCAGGGTGATGCTCAGAAGAAGCCGATGTTGAACCAGGTATTTTATAGAAATAAAATATCTAAAAAGGAGGAGAGAAAAACATTTTAGTTTCCTCAAAATTCATGAAATTGTGAAAGTACACATTTTCCATGAACATGGAGGACTGCGGGTGACTTGAATAGAGGATGGTTTTCATGGAGAATGTGAAAGAAGATACTTCCAAATTAGATTCGTACCAGATTTTGTGACCTATGGTAAGGAATTTTGTAGTTTAACTTTTATTTTTTATTTTACTTATTTGTTTATTTTTGAGATGGAGTCTTACTCTGTCACCCAGGCTGGAGTGCAGTGGTATGATCTCAGCTCACTGCAACCTCCACCTCTCAGGTTCAAGCGATTCTTATGCCTCAGTCTCCTGAGTAGCTGAGATTACAGGTGTGTGCCACTGCACTCAGCTAATTATTATTATTATTATTGTAGTTTTAATAGAGGTGGGTTTCACCATGTTGGCCAGCTTGGTCTTGAACTTCTGGCCTCAAGTGATCCTCCTGCCTCAGTCTCCCAGAGTGCTGGGATTAAAGGCATGAGCCACCATGCACAGCCTAAATTTAACGTTTAGACCATTTCCAACATAAGCAGCTTTAGTGGCTGCCTTTTCACTGTTGAGTCCACAGTGATTATTCTAGGGCATTGCATGTAATAAATGCTCAATAAATGTTTATTGATTGTATCAACAGATAGGTATTTTAGACAGAGGAGTAACAGGATCATATCTGTGTATTTAGTTAATCAAGAAGAGAAAAATTCAGACAACATGTTAACAGAAAGGAGCAGCCCTCAAGCAATAAAGGTGGGAGGTGGGAGATAAATACCTCAGCTTCCTCACCCTTGTCAGCAGGAACAAGCCCCAGATTCCCATGGTGGTAACATACAGTAGCCTCCTTATTCACAGTTTTGCTTTCTGTGGTTTCACTTACCCAGTCAACCAAGATCTGAAACTAGGTGAGCACAGTGCAATAATATTCTCTGAGGGACAGCAGTCACATGACTTTTACCATATATTGTTATAACTGTTCTACTTTATTATTGGTTATTGTTGTTAATTTCTTACTGTGCCTAATTTATAAATAAAACTTTATCATAAGTATATATGTATAGTACTACCTGTGGTTTCAGGCATCCATAGGGGAGACTTGATATGCATCCATCAGGGATAAGGAGGAAGTGCTGTATTTACTAACAAGTCCTGTATTGGTTTCCTTTCTTTTCTGTTTAACTTCCTTACTTCCCCAGGAACACTTCCTGGATTTACCTTGCAAATAGACTTCCCAAACCTGCAACATTATATCTCAAGTTCTGCTTCTGGGAGAACCTGATTCAAGACAGAGTCACATGGTCCTTATAATGGTCTACACAGAGATTATGAGGGCCTCATCTAAAGCAGTGAGCATGAAAAATGTGAAAGGCAGAATTCTAGGATATCATCCTAAATCCACATATCTTCTCTTAGCTATTCAATCAAGCATTAGTCTCAGTACTTCTATGAAGGGATATTGCAGAAATAATTGAGGTCACAAATCAATTGACTTTAAGCAAGGGAATTATCACAAATGTATCTGAACTAATCCCATGAGTCCTCAAAAGGGATAGGCATCTTCTTTATGAGTGAGATTCAAAGCATGAGAGGGATTTGATAGGAGAAAGATTCTGCATTGTAGCTTTGAAGATGGAGGTGCCATGTGTCATGGTGGGCCTCCAGGAGTTCAGTGTAGCCCACAGCTGACTCCAGCAAGGAAATGGGATCTCAGTTCCACAGCACGGGCTCCTGTTAATGGCTTGAAAGAGCACACAGGCAGAAACTTCTTCAGAGGCTTCAATGAGTATGACTCTGAGCATTGGACTCAGCCAAATCATGCCAGCTTTTTACTCAGGGAATTGGTGAGATAATAAATTATCTTCCTTTAAGCTGCTAATTGTTGGTTATTTGCTGTGCAACTGTAGAAACCTAGTACCCTCCACAGTGGGGTTAGGGTTAGGATAGTGGTAGAAGTCAAGCCTTACAATTGCTGGGATTTGGTGGCTGATTGTGTCAAATGATTGAAAGAAAAGGAGGAATAATCTTAAGGCTCTAGTCTGAGTTCATAATTATGCCATTAATGAAATAGAAAATATGTAAAGATAATTTTTTTTCAAGTAAGAAGTGGGTTTTGTTTTTGTTTTTGTTTTTTTAGTTTGTTATCTTTGAAATTAAGCTGTCTAATAAGCATCTAAAAATATAATCCAAAGCACAGGAACAATTCTGGTTCTGAAAAATAAACATTTGGAAGTAATTGGCATATGTTTAATGTGGAAACCATGGGGGAGGGTATCTGGGTATTTTGTGTAGAGGTCTTCTTCACTGCTTAGCCCTTCTAAATTTTGATAATAGGGCTTTCTTGACTGAGGAGAGATACAGAGTACTTATAAAAATGGGAATTTGTAGGCTGGGTGCGGTGGCTCATGCCTATAATCCCAGCACTTTGGGAGGCCGAGGCAGGTGGATCACGAGGTCAAGAGATCGAGACCACCTTGGTCAACATGGCGAAACCCCGTCTCTACAAAAATACAAAAATTAGCTGGGCATGGTGGTGTGCACCTGTAGTCGCAGCTACTCAGGAGGCTGAGGCAGGAAAATTGCTTGAACCCAGGAGGCGGAGGTTGCAGTGAGCCGAGATCGCGCCATTGCACTCCAGCCTGGGTAACAAGAGCGAAACTCCGTCTCAAAAAAAAGAAAAAGGGAATTTATTAGATACTGTGTTATCTTAAGATTGTATTTCATCTTATTTGCAATAAAGTAATTTTTAAATTTATGGCTTATGAAGTAGGGTATGGATCTCAAATACATAGCACTAAAGCCACCACTCCCCAATTCGGAGCCTATGGCATTACTAATCAATTCAGTAATTTTCCTTTCAGAACCAGTATCCTTTTCAGCCATGCTCTGGGCAGGAACTAATTGATTATAGTTCACATACACTTGCCATCATGGGTTAGTTTCGAAACCATATCCGTTTAATAACAGATACATTGAGTTGCTACTTGAGGGTGGAGGGTGACAGGAGGATGGGGATCCATAATGATTGCTTATTATTTGTGTGATGAAATAAACTGTACATCAAACCCCTGCAGCATGCATTTTACCTATGTAACAAACCTGAAACTAAAAGTTAAAAAAGATAATTTAAAATATATTTTATTTTGATTTTTCTTTAAAAAGGACATTTTCTTATCTCTTTACATGTTGTTAAACGATATTAGTAGTCTCCTGAGGAATTAAGATGGCAAGAAGTGATTTTTACAGCCTACAGATGGTTTGGATATCAAACATTACAAAGCTAATTTGAAATATCATGAAAAAAGTATAAATAGGAATTTCATTCAGTCCTTCACATGGGGCTGACTGGCATTGTATCCACAGTTATTAAGTTCAAATATTTATAATTTTTGATTCCTATAATGGGAGGTAGGGACAGTTCTTGCAGTTTTGAGAATGATGGTATAATGTTGAGAGCCAACGTAAATGCAAGAGGATTGATCTCCTTCCAACCAAAAATGGGTAAGATTTACACAAAGTCATGCATATTAATCATCCAATTGTTGTTTCATCCTGCCATCATCGTGGGAGACACCAAAAACTCTAGAACCACTGCCAGAGACACATTTATATGACCCAGCCTAGAATAAAAGCTTAGGCAGCTCTATTTCTGGATCACAGGGTGTTAACATATTAGTCAACCCATAAAAGCTCCCAGTGATTTATATGGAGTTGTAGCATTGCACCACAGGTGGAGGGGCCTAAATTGTTTTTGGAGAAATATAGGGCTCTGTCTTCGGGATCATGACCCATGAATCACACCCAGGGCTCCCAAAGCCGAGGCCAGTGGGGGCATGGAAGAACTTGGCTTAGACACAGGGATGTGACTCATTAAAAAAGATGAACTGGTTTTGAAAAATAACAAGAGCCACCTTCTATTCTCTACATACCTACTTTCATTCCATAACTTAAAAAAAAAAAGCAAACTAGGGGATTTATAAGTTTTTATCAGATATATAAACAGATTGTGGCTATTTACTTTTAGAATCTTGGTCTATTTTGCTGTTATGGAAGTGGTGGCCATAGTTATCTTTTTATAACAGGTTGACAATATGGTAATTGCATTACTTGAAGAAAATCACTTGCCAAATTTATACAACAAATTGACAAAAGTTGTGATAAATTCATACGATGTGATGTCCAGATTCAACTTTCTAGTCAGTTGAGGGACTCTAATTAGTAATTGATGAAGGCTCATTAGCAGAAAGTTCCAGGTAATTGTTAACTTACTGCTGTCAATGCATGACAGGTAACCTGCCAGCAGAGTGCCATTACAAATGTGAGCAGTGTCAATCATATCCTTATGTGGCAGGGAAAGCTTTCACTCCCCAGAAAAGGTGAGGCATATGTGGTTTGGGCTAAAAAGAACAACATTATGATTCCAGGCCACCAGAACTCTTTTTTTTTTTTTTCCCCAGAACTCTTATTTCATCATTTTAAAAAATTAAGTTGGATCAGGTGCGATGGCTCATGCCTATAATCCCAACACTCTGTGAGGCCGAGGTGGGAGGATCACTTGAGGCTAGGAGTTCAAAACCAGCCTGGACAACATAGCAAGACCTCATATCTACTAAAAATAAAAATCTTAAATGGGTATGGTGCTATGTGCCTATAGTCCCAGTACTTTCAGAGGCTGAGGCTGAAGAATCTCTTGAGTCCAGGAGTTTGAGTCTGCAGTGAGCTACAATCCGGCCACTGCTCTCCAGCCTGGGCAACAGAGTGGACACTATCTCAAAAAAATTAAGTTGAAATAATTTTAACATTTTAATATTTGAGCATCCATTTCTACAACTGCTGGATTTTATTCTAAGCATAGATTTTAAAAACTAATTTCGAGTGTCAAAAACTTGCCACTTTATTTTTTCATGTTTGGATTACAGGCCTAGAAACTTCACAGCGTGGAAAACATAAGAAAAAAAAATCGACTACAGGAAAAACGAGAATGAATGGAGATGTATCTGACATTTTGAGAGCAGGCTAGACTCAGATCTTCTCTCCCCATAGCTAAGCTGGGTGGGCAGCTGGCCTCAAGAACAGTCCACCCACAACCATTCCAACTCCTGGCTCAAACCTGCTTGAGCTTGGACAAGCTGTTGTCAGCTCCAGATCCCACCCTGACTCCTGCATGTCTAGGACGCCTCCATCACTACTGAGCAGGGAAGTATTTTCTTCCTTTCTCATTCATTTTCTTCCGAAGGAGGGGCTCTGATTTTCTTCTCTCCTGCAGTGCTTTTTCCTCTGTATAACCCTTAACCTCCTCTCATTCTCTTCATCCCCACCTGAACGATGCTAGTTCATGTGCCACCACCATCTTGCCTGAATGACTGTTCCGGTGATCATCTTTCTTCTCCCATTTGCCACCAGACGTCATTCTACTCCCAGAAGCCAGTAGCACAGTTTCAGAAGGCTAATGTAACAGTGTCTTTTCCCTGTGGGAAGCCATCAGTGGTTTTTCACTCCCTCAAGCACAGCCGACAAGGCCTTCAATGACCTGCCCCTACGGCCACACTGGCCTTCATACATGTCCCCAGAAGTGCCCAGTTTGTTCTCATCCTGGGGCCTTTGCACATGCCACTTTGCATCCAAGCTTGCAGACCATTATATGCTTTGGCACCAGCTCTCACAGAGCCTGCAGCACTGACGGCAATGTGCATATGGCATTTCCTGTCTGCCTTTCCTGGTAGACTTGAGGAGCGCTGTGAATAGAGGGAGTATAGGTATAGAAGAAACATGTATTTTCCCAGGGCCCAGGCCAGAGCCTGCCCCATAGTGGATGCTCAATAACCACTTGCCAAGTGCTTCCTAGAAATGTGTTGACTGTTGCTTTCTGACCATTAGATTTTCTTATTTGATCTTTTCTAGCAAAGTGGTTGCTTCTGTATTTACTTAGAATTCCATTTGTTTCATAAGTGATCTCTTCGCTATTTTATAGCCTTTGTACGTGCTGGATCTCTCACCAGAACCAACAGTTCTGTAGCTCTTCAGGCGAAGCAGTGAAGATGAGTTTCAGGGATTGTGAGTGTTTTCCCAGCCTTTCTACACACCTTTGCATGAGCATAGGCAAGTGCCTTTTGGGACCTCAGTAAATATTTGTTGGGTGGAAGGACAGGTGGATTGATAAATGGATGGATGGATAGATGGTAGAAGACAGATATACTTATGGGTGGCACGCTGAAGATGTTGACAACTTCTTTAGCCTGTTTATCTCTAAACTCCTTTCCCCTCTCTGTGAATAAACTGTCAGATCCCTTTTTCTCTAGAGATACGGTCAAGCAAAGCATTTCCTAATGCTTGTAACACTCCTAAAGCAAGAGGAACATTGGCAGAAACTTATATTTTCAATGCAGTTTTTAGGAGGGTTAATTACTTTGTGTCTCTGAATACTTAAAGGTTCCTCTAGGAAAAACTCTCTGAATGAAACTCAATGACAAGATCTTGATAATGGACTCCTGGGTATTGCTGTGTGCAATGCCCTACCTATAACTCTCATTTTAATTAATGTATCTTGAGCAAGATTTGAAACAGATCTCTTTCCCTCTCTTCTAATTTTAATGAGTCTTTTCCAACAGACATCCACTTCACCAGAGAGATGCAGAGAACCTCAGCATATTCTAGATGGGCTTCCCCTCTGCAATTTATGATGAAATCTGACTTCAGGGCGAGTTTGCAGCCTCCTTTCTGCCTCTCCTCTGGTTTCCCGGTAGCAGACCCTTGTCTCCCTTCAGACCTGGGCTCCCCCAGCTCAGTCCCACTTGGCATTTCTAACTGAGGTTATGGATACACATGGAGCCCAGAACTCATTGCTTTTTTGGAAAAGGCAAAATAAGAGAGGGGATTTTCCATATTCACATTTTTCCACAGAAATGTATTCATAAGCTTTAAACTTGCCCAAGCTCTGTTAATGTATGTGGTTGGCTCCTGTGCCAATTTTCATTGTGAATAAGATGCTAAATAAAAGGGTTCTTGTCTTTCCCCTTTCTCCTCCCCTCCCATAACTTTAACTTCATAAACCCATTTTGTAAGTGAATTAGGTCTTAGGAGAGAATCAGAAACGATGTTGTTCTTTTAGCTGCTTACAATGTTTGCTTTAAACCCTTGATAGGAACATGGGCTGTGACAGCAGCAGCAGAGGTAAACAGATGACTTTATATATAATGCTTTTTACAAGGTGGTTCAGTTCATTTCTAACCTTGGTCTTTGCGTCATGGAATGAGCCAGGGAAATTCTTCCCCTTAACCCTACCCTGCACGTCCTCCCGTCAAGGGCAGGGAAATGTCCATTTTGCCTTTGATTTCACAGCTCGTTCTCCACAGTAGAGCTTACATAATGCTATACCCCCCAATCCCAGAGAACCCCAGAAGTGTCATCAGGTATCATTATTATTATTTTCATCAGGTAAAATGTTCACAATAAAAGCTGCAATTTTTATGAACCATGAGCTGGCGTGTCCTGGCACGTCCTGGTTGTCAAGTTTCTGTGCGTTTTAGTTCAAATGTTCCCTGCCTGTGTTTATTCCTGGTCAGACCACACCTCCTGGGACTGTCTTTGTGGCTTTTGCTTAGCTGCTAACTCAAGTTGCAGAAGACATGGGGGATAGTAGAGCAAGGTCTGCAAGATTCTGGCCTGAAGGAAAGGGCTCCATAGCTCTGCTCTTTTGAGATATGGAAGCTGCCTGCTCCTCCCTTTTCCTGGAAGGTCCCATGACTAGTTCCGTACCAACAACTAGCCAAGAATATGTAGGGCTAAAGGGGTGTTAACATTAAGTGATACAGTGAGGACCAGAAACCTTGGATATATGGGAAAACATGTGGGCTTTCCGTCAGAGAAGACTAGGTTCAAATACCATCCCCCAAGGAATAGCTAGCTCCTTGCTGGGGATCTTGGGCAAGTTCTTAGTTTCTGATTTCTTCATCTAGAAAATAGCAATAATAATGGAACCCATCTTAGAGGAGTGTGTAACATGATGTGAAAAAATGAAAGTTCAATGCACAGTCTATGATATGGTACAGGACAGGATGCTATATTGTTAATACTATTAGCTACTATGAACATTATTGGTAACTGATAATTACCTATAATTAATATAATAAATAATATTGGTGTCAAAATTATAATCTACATTATTAATACTTATAATCTGTAATTACTTATTGGTAATTATAGATATTAATATTACACATTGATCGATCTTGCAGAACCTCCTTTACTTCATCTAGAAAGCAGAGATTAACATGGACATTGAAAAAACCTCTGACTCTATAGGGTTTCTGTGAAGAAGAATAAATGACTTTGCACAGTACCTGGCCCTTCAGCCTGTAACAAAGCATTGCTGTTTTTAATGAGAGGTTAGTTGTCCTTCTCAGGCCTTCTGTAAAGGAATGTGTTACTTTGCTTTTCAGCCAGCATGACTGTCTCATTCCAGCACTTCTATTGCTGTCTAAAAAGATGACACAGTGGCTCAGGCCTGTCATCCTAGCACTTTGAGAGTCTGAGGTGGGTGGATCACTGGAGGTCAGGAGTTCAAAACCATCCTGGCCAACATGGTGAAACCCTGTCTCTACTAAAAATACAAAAAAAAAAAAAAAAAAAAAAATTAGCCAGGTGTGGCAGTGGGCACCTGTAATCCCAGTTTAGCGGGGAGGCTGAAGAAGGAGAATCACTTAAACCCTGGAGGCGGAGGTTGCAGCAAGCTGAGATTGTGCCACTGCGCTCCAGCCTGGGTGACAGAGTTTTCTTGAAACTCTGTCTCAAGAAAAAAAAAAAAAAAGATGACTGCAAAGTGACTTTAGAGGCAGGTCATGGGCCTGGTGACACCCAGGCATGAGACTGGATGGGGGGCTCAGTCTCCTGGAGAAGATGACCCCTCAGACTTGAATATCTCAGTTGAGGCCCAAGAATCATGGATTCTTTTTAGCAGGCTAGGCTGGTGGGCTTGGTGTATGAGCCGCAGGCTGTGCCTGTAGACAACTAGAAGGAAGAGCTTTGCTGCTGAATGCACTTAGGGGGCCTTCCCCACCTCTGTTATCTGTCTCAGTTTCTGGGATAGATGCAGTAGAGCTGTAAAAACCAAGCTGGCTAGTATCACAGCTTGCCTGTCCCTTTAAGCCAGGGCTTTTGGCAGATGGACCTTTGACAGTCTGGTGAAGCCTACGGATTCCTTCCTGAGAATAGTACAAATCAATAAGATAAAATATGTGGGTTTATAAGGGAAACAAACTACATGTCAAAAATTTATTTTGGAATTGTACTAAAGTAATGGATATATTTCTCTAGTAGTCTATTAGATAGAATGATGTAAAGTACGGTGCTAAAAATATAATAATTTGGAAGAAGTGATGAGTGAAAACAGTACTAGAGGGCATCCCTACGATATACAAATATTTGATTTCTTTTAGGGGCAACATCATGTGGCCTCCTAATGCTTCTGTGATTTGTAGCCTGTGTACACATTTAAAGGAAGTGAAACATTTCAGTTGAAGGTTAGGACAAACAAGGCAGAATTTTCTCTCCTGTTCAGGTTCACAGACCACATGATAAGGAGCTTTGCTCAGCTGGTCTCCTAAGTCTCTGTGCTGTGAGAGGTCCTGGCCCCAACTTCTCTTTGTCTTATCATCTTGTTTGCATCACAGCCTCCTGCATGCTCTCTGACCTTTATGCAGTACCCCTGCACCCATGATCCGGGTCACATCAGGTCTGGTTTTGCAATCTCAGGGTTTGATGGAAGAACCCATCTTTCATGCTTCACTATTTAAAGAAGGCTAGATTCATTTTAAAAGTACAATGTACCCCAAAAATCACCTGAAGCATTTGATAAAATCCATATTTCTATACCCCTCAATTTGAGTTGATGTGTCTGGGGAGAGGCTCTGGTTTCTATATTTTAAAGAACTCCCTAAATGCTTCTGAGGAAGGTGCTCCTTAAACAGAATGGTGCTTCTGCTAAAAGACAAGCCTTTTCCATCTTGGAAAGTATTATTTTACTATCCTATATTCTGGACAGGAGATGAATGGACAGCTTGTCTGTAGTGGTGTGATATACAGACAGGGATGGCGGCTACAAGAATGTGAAAGTGTGGAAGGAAGAAAGAAAGGAAAAGAAAAAGGAGAGGGAGGAGAAAAGCAGAAAGGAAGATAAAAAGAACATAAGAAAGAAACTAATAAAGGAAGGAAAGAAGGGGAAAAAGGGGGGAAAGAAAGAAGGATAAAAAGGAAAGGAAATAAAGGAAGAAAAAAGGGAGAAAGAAAGGGAAAGAAGGAAAGAAGGAAGAAAAGGAGGAAGGAAAGAAGGCTGGAAAAAAGGAAGGAAACAATGGAAGAAAAAAGAAGGGAGGAAAGGAAGGGAAGGAAAGAAAGAAGCAGGGAGTAAAGGAAGAAAGAAGGAAGAAAGGGAAAAAGCAAGGGAAAAGATGTTGTAAGTGCTTTTAAACCTATGGGAAAAGAAATTTTTATGAGCAGAATCCAGAGATAATATAAATCAGCAAGAAGAAGGATAGATTGATTTTGAAATTCAACCAATATTTATTATATGGTTGCTATATTCTAAGGCAGGGGTTGAAAACTCAAACACATAGAGCAGCCAGGCAAGATGGTGCTAATATAAAAGATTCAGGGTTCTCTCAGTCTTCTACTTTTCCAATTTGAAGGAAACAGTTTGGCAGCATAAGAAAAACAAAAGACTGAATGTAAGTTTATGCTGTCAAACTTTGGTTCACAGCGTCAGGCATGGCTACCTAGGGCCTTCCTTTGTGTACACATGAAATCTATCTTCCATATTCTCCCATTTTTCAAGAAAATTTCACATTTTATAGAAATCTCTTTATGAATAAATGTTGGAAACTATTCCAGTACTATTTCTGCAAAACAAATTTACTAAAACCGTATCTGCTTTAAAATGACCATTTTATTTTTCCCATGGATTATTTTGGTTGGAAGTAGAGCTGTCCTTTTCTTTACTCCACCATGTCTGAAGCCGCAGCTGGGAAGTGAGGGTAATGACTGAGCATTTGGAGGCTAGGATCACCTAGAGGCTCTCTTACCTGTCTGGCGCTTGAGCTGGGAAGACTCAGTGATCAGGACTATTAATTGGAGCAACTTAATGTGGCTTCCCCATGTGGCTTGACATCATGGCGGCCTCATGGTAGCGGGGCTCATTCCATTATAGCTTAGAGCATCAAGCGCAAGTGTTCCTGCAAACAGGGAGGGAGCTGCATGGCCTTTTATGATCCAGTCTTAGAAGTCATACAATGTCACAGTATGTTTGACTGTATTGGTCAAAACTGTTATAAGCCCAACCAGATTCAAGGAGAGAAAGATAGTTTCTATCTCTTGATGGGGAAGTGAGAAATTTACATTCTGGAAGAGCTTAAGAGCGAGAGATATTATTGTAGGCATCTTTGAAAAATAGAATCTGCCATAGTAACTAATTCAAAACTTTATTTTAGCCCATAATCCCAGAACTTTGTGAGGTCGAGACAGGCAGATCACCTGAGGTCAGGTGTTCATGATCAGCCTGGTGAACATGGTGAAACCCCGTCTCTACTAAAAATACGAAAGTTACAGGCGTGACAGTGTGCGCCTATAATCCCAGCTACTTGGGAAGCTGAGGCAGAAGAATTGCTTGAACCAGGAGGTGGAGGTTGCAGTGAACCCAGATTGTGCCACTGCACTCCAGCCTAGGAGACAGAACAGCAAGACTCTGTCTCAAAAAACGAGCAAACAACAACAAAAAACTAACAAACAACAACAA